GGAAGACCGAAAAGATGAAGTGTCCTTTTCATCGTATCATACAAAGGATGTGTACTTTCAATGTGACTGATCACTGTTGATGTTGATTTGGCCACCTGACTGAGATAGTGAAGCAGGATAATTTCCCTGACCCCTTTGCTCGTGGGAATTGAGGTGTGGGTGCTGGAAGTAGCTGGTCACTTAGGTGCTGGCAGGGGCAGACTCCACTCACTAGAACCGCCTGTGCTCAACCTGTCATGGGAGGAAACATGCAGGTAAGCATGTGCAGGAGCTGGGGTGAGTGGTTTTGGGTGCCAGGAGGAGCAAAACTCTGTGCAGGCCCTGAAGCCCCCGAAGGAATATTACAGTCGGTGCTGTTTGAGCTTTGCCGCCCATGGACAGTTTAAGTGTTAACAGGTCAGTGGAAGGTAAGTGTGACAGCCTTTTACACCAGCCTGGAAGAGAAATGGCTGTTGGAAGATGAGAAAGGGTGGGTATGAAAGATACTCCTTTTGACTGTGTTAAGTTTCAGATGCTGGCTAGATTTTGAAGTAGAAATGTAAAGAACATTGAAGATGTGAATCTGGAGTTCAGGGTATAGGGCAGGACTCAAGATTCTTTTTGGAGGTTGCACATTTTATCTTTAAAGAATTCCATTGTATTTTTCAGAGTAAGAATTTCATTTGATAAAGAGGTTGTGGTACTTTGAGTAGAATGATGAGAAAAATTTTAAACAAAACTTTATTTTTTTCTGAAAGCACTGTGAATAAAAATAAGAGTAAATATAGGTGATTTTCAGTCAGCATCAGTGACCTGTCTGTATCTGACCTGAGTCCTGGCTGATATAGCCAGTAGACAGTAGAAAGTTCAGAATTTGATTTGCATGATTTAAAGCTATAGAGAAGAAAAATTAGACATTTTAATTTCTTCCCCCCCCCCCCAATAAGGAACCATGTGGATACATTTTTGAGCCTTAAAATTTTTTTTTCTTAGCAGGAAACCAGTCAGAAGTGGGAGGCCTCTGAACAAGCTGTATACTGTGGAGCTGCCAGCTTCTGCCTTCTCCAGGCAAAACACTGGCCCTCAGTGCCTCTTTCTGCTTCCCCTTGTTCGGACCACTGAGGACTGCTGCTGTCCTGTCTGACTCTTCCTGTTTTGGTGAGCAATATAGGGAGGCTGAGGGATTGATAATATTTGGCTCCATATTTTAAAAAGATACTTGGTAGTTACATAAAGTTATGTCTAGTTTGACCAGTACCACTTATAACTTTAAGTTGTTGTACAGAAATTGATCCTTTAAAGTTAAATAATACTGAGAGAATTCTCATTATTGAAGTTAATAATACTGAGAGAATTCATGTTTTTTTTTGCCTTCCCTGTCCTTTTTAGTTCTTTATTTATTTTTAGAGCTTTTGTACTAGCACAGCTTCCCTTTCCTGAGAGTTGATTTTATTTTATTTATTTATTTTTGAGACAGAGTTTCGCTGTTGTTACCCAGGCTGGAGTGCAATGGCGTGATCTCGGCTCACCGCAACCTCCGCCTCCTGGGTTCAGGCAATTCTGCCTCAGCCTCCTGAGTAGCTGGGATTACAGGCACGCGCCATCATGCCCAGCTAATTTTTTGTATTTTTAGTAGAGACGGGGTTTCATCTTGTTGACCAGGATGGTCTTGATCTCTTGACCTCGTGATTCACCCGCCTCAGCCTCCCAAAGTGCTGGGATTACAGGCTTGAGCCACTGCACCTGGCAGGAGTTGATTTTAAAAATTAGATTTGCAAGAGCTTATCCTTTTAGAGGATGATGAAAACCACTTGTACTTGAACTTAAGGAAAATTTCTTTTTTTAGTTCCCTGTGTGCCCTTTTCAGATCACATCCCAGAGAGGAGAGACTTCTGAAATACTGTGTTAACCATTTCCTTTCTTTGTTCAAGTGTTATCAACAGATGTATATATTTATGTGGTAATAAGCATGAAATTTGCCATCTTAACCATCTTTAAGTGGGTAGTTCAGTAGTGATAAGTGTATTCACAACATCGAGTACTAGATCTCCAGTTTTTCATCTTACAGAACTGAAACTGTTTATTAATTAATCAACTGTCTGTTTCCCCCAGGCCCAACCACTGGCCTTTTGTTTCTATGAATTTCGCTATTCTAGATACTTCATATAAGTGGAAACTTACAGTGTTTGTCTTTTTGTGAGTGGCATATCTGAGTTAGCACGTCTTCAGAGTTCATCCATGTTGTCACATATGGTATATGTTATATGACTCATAAAAGCCAGAATTTCTTTTCTTTTGAAAAGCTGAATAATGTTCCATTTATAAAGTTCTTAATCTTCGTGTGACTGAACTTATAACATTCATATTTGTAATGTTTTTTATACCTAGTTTAAGAAATTCTTCTGTATCCTGAGATCATAAAGATAGCCTCCTATATTTTTAAGAAATATTTTTTCTTTGTTGTTTTAAAACAAGATTAAATTTATAGGAATGTTATCAGTACAGTTTAGATAACATTCGCTTTTCCCTGAACCATTTGATGATACGTTACTGAGTTGATGACCCATTGCTTCCAAATATTTTAGTGGCATTTCCTAAGAAAAGAACATTCTGCAGTGTAATATCAAAATAACCATCAAAGTTAGAAAATTAATATATTTCTCTCATCACATCTTCAATTTTATTCAAGTTTTACTGGTTATCTCATCAAATTCTGTTTAACAACAGGATCTAGTTTAGAATTACAGGTTACATTTAGTTCTAATGTCTCTTTAGTCTCCTTACATCTGGACCACTCCCTTTATTGAATTGAGATGTATTCCTTCATCTTCTATTTTCTGGGAGGAAATGTATAAAGCCAGTGTTAATTCTTTTTTTAAAAAATTGATAGAATTTTTCAGTAAAACCATCTGGGTCAAAGTTTTTATTTTTTTGGGGGGGCGGGGGCAGGATGGAGTTTTGCTCTTGTTGCCCAGGCTTGAGTGCAATGGCACAACCTTGGCTCATTGCAGCCTCCACCTCCAGGGTTCAAGGATTCTTCTGCCTCAGCCTCCTGAGTAGCTGGGATTACAGGTACCCACCACCACACCCAGCTAATATTTTGTATTTTGAGTAGAGATGGGTTTCACCATGTTTGCTAGAGTGGTCTTGAACTCCTGACCTCAGGTGATCCACCCGCCTCAGCCTCCCAAAGTGCTGGAATTTCAGGTGTGAGCCACTGTACCTCACTGGCCTAGAGATGTTTATGAGATTTTAAATTACAAAGTCAGTTTTCTTAACAGTTAAAGGGCTATTTAAATTTGTATTGGACGAGTCGTAGTAGTTTGTGTTTTTTTCTGGAATTGGTGCATTTCATCTAAGAAATTTTAGCTAATCTATGTGCAGTTTTATTCTTCCTTACCTTATATAGACATTTTTTTCAATGAAAAGATAATCTAATACATGTACTTATAAAAATAAATGCATATTTTATATCTGTATCATATAATTTTATATCTGTATTATATACTTTGGATCTGGCTCTAGATGTAGCCAAGATCTCAGGGGCAGGCTATATGCAGCACTGATGGGAGACTCAGTGACCTGTAAAGTCTGTGACTCTACATACTTCAGAGTTTGCTCTGCATGACTCTCTGACCATGCAGATAGCTATACTGTGGCTATATTGTGCTGACACCTCATTCTATTTCAATTTTTTTCCATGACTTTATTATTCAAAATAATGTGATACAGTACAAATCAGATTTGCTATGGTCCCTGACCTCAGGTTGCTCAGAGTCTCTGTAGGGGTTGCAGAGAAGTAATTAGGAAATCAGAAATCAGTGTGGTCAGTGTTTTGATGAGGAGGCAACAGGTCCTCATGAGAACACAGAGAAGAGGTATCTGTTTTATTCTCTGCATCTCTGGTACCTAGTACAGTACCTTGCACATAGTAGGTTCTCATGAAGTCTTCGTCAAATGAATGAATAAACTCAGAACTGGGTGATCACAGGGTCACCTTTGGAGAGGACTTGTGTCTGAGCCAAGTTAGTGATGTCTATGGGCAGTAGATGAGTGGAGGGAATTCTCTCATGTGGATGCAATAATATGCAGTGTTGTAGAAGGACAGAAAGCTTAGCAATCTAAACAGTTGTCGAAAGCTATTTATTTGCAAGTGGGGAGTGGTTTCCAAAAGTGATTGCAAACTGAAGGCTAAGAGGAAATAACTCTGACCACAGTATGTATTGGACAAGGTTAGCTAAGAAGCAGAATTTATTTTTATGAATTAGCATTTTTGGTTCTGGCTATCGTATTTACCATTACTAGGTTTAGTTTCTAACATATCTTAAAAATAATGCTCTCCAATTGAATAAGAAGTATTTTTTTGTGAAGCATGGTACAGTTTTCTCTGGGTCTTACCTACTAGTCTTATTCATACTATCTTTACTTTAAAACAATACTTTTCTATGCTCTAAATATATCTGTGACAAATCATGAGTTTACCACTAATAATGGTGGGTCATATTATTGTGTTTTCATATGCCAGGTACTGTATTGAGACCCTGCCATGGGTTACTTCATTTGGTCTGGACAGTGGCCTCTCTGTAAGAAAACCAAACCTAGGGCTCCCATTTTACAGAAGTGGCAACTAAGATTTGGGGAAGTTAAGTTGTGTGTACCCAAGGTCACTTAGGTAAGCCTAGGACTAACATTTGAATCTAAGTCTGTCTGACTTCATTTAACCACTGAGCTATATGTGCTCTTTACAATGTTTCATATGTCTTTGAATTAAACAAAAAAGGCCCAGGATTTAGTTTTACTGGTGTATATATCCTTAGAAAGTTTATCAGTTGATAGGAAAAGAGTTTGTAGTGAAATAACATATTAAGACTCTCCTAAAAGCAAATTACAGAAACCCACTTTAAACTAGCCAGCATGGCTGGATGCAGATGCTCCAACGATAATTACTGTGCTCTTCCTCTCTGTGTCTCCTCTTTTCTCACCTTCCTCTTTCCCCCTCCCTCTTTATCCCACTGCCCCACTCCCTCTCTCATTCTGCTTTTCTTAGAGTGTTGGCCCATTCCCTCTTGCCACAGAAGCAGCCCCAGTTGAAACCATCTCCACCTGTGATCCTAGGAAGAAAAAGCATCTTCTCTGGGAAGATGCCCTGGGGAATACTCTTGGTCATGGGGACTGCGGGCTGTGAGAGGACTTTGTGAACTGTATGGAATGTAGCTGTCGGGATGACAACATATCCAACTTCATCTTGATAAGACCTGTCATTTGATGGTTGAAAGATACAATTTTTTGGCCAGGCGCGGTGGCTCAAGCCTGTAATCCCAGCACTTTGGGAGGCCAAGGCGGGTGGATCACAAGGTCAAGAGATCGAGACCATTCTGGTCAACATGGTGAAACCCCGTCTCTACTAAAGATACAAAAAATTAGCTGGGCATGGTGTCGCATGCCTGTAATTAGCTCGGCAGGCTGCGGCAGGAGAATTGCCTGAACCCAGGAGGTGGAGATTGCGGTGAGCCAAGATCGCGCCATTGCACTCCAGCCTGGGTAACAAGAGCGAAACTCCGTCTCAAAAAAAAAAAAAAAAAAAGATATAATTTTTTAAAGATAATGCGCAATATATTTTAATAGCTTTATCAAAATATAGTTCACATACCATAGAACTCACTCATTTAAAGTGTACAGTTCAATGATTTTAATGTATTCACAGACAACTGTGAATACAGCTGTTTCCACTGTCTAATCTGTAACATTTCCATCACAAAAAGAAACTTTGTACCCATTATTCACAGTCACTCACTATTTTTGCCAAATCTCTCAGTCTTAAACAACCACTCATCTACTTTCTGTCTCTGTAGATTTGCCTATTCTAGACATTTTATGTAAGTGCAATCAGACGACTTGTGGTCTTTTGTGTCTGACGCCTTTCATTACCATGCTTTCAAGGTTTATCTATCTTTGCATATAATCCTGCATTTTTTAATTGCCAAATATTGTTCCAATATATGAATATACCACATTGTCTGTTGTTGATGGACATTTGGGTTATTTTTGCAATTATGAATAATGCTGCTGTGAACATTTGTGTATAAGCTTTTGTGTAGATTTATTGTTAGTTCTTTTGTGTGTATACCTAGGAGTGGAATTGCTGGCTCATATGATAACTATAGCTAACATTTTGAGGAACTGTCTTCCAAAGTGACAGTATCATTTTACATTCTTACCAGCAATGTGTGAGGGTTCCAGTTTCTTTACATTCTTGTCAACACTTACTATCTTTTTGATTATAGGCATCTTGGTGGGTGTGAAGGGGTATAATGCATATTTTATAAAAGGTTGTTTTGTTTGTTAAATAATGGCCTGTTTACTTGTCTTCTTACCTTGAATTGGAGTTTTCCCAGTGGGTTCTGAACCTGCTCCTCCTCAGTCCAGCCAGCCAGGTAGGCAGACTATGTTGATCAAAGGATCAGAAGTATATGTTTATTTTTCTTTATAAATTTTATTATTTACAAATGCAGACAGGGATTATTCTTATTTTCATATTAAGAAACAGGATATATGCCAGAGGTTACTTGGTTGAAGTTGAACAGGGATTCGTATTTAGTATTTATTAGCTGGTAGAGAACTGCTTGCTTCAGATCTGCAGTGTCAGCCTACTTTGACATGATAGGTGGCATTCATATGACACACATTCCCACTCGTGTTCACTGTGTTATATTTAGTTCCCAGCGAATTAGTTGTATGTCTGCTGCTTTTTTCTTAGAAATGTGAGGGCAAGAGTAATGTTTTAGGAATAATTTTGATTATTCACAAATGATTGTTCATGAACTTGACTATTTTAATTTTCATTAGTATAAATTACTTGCAGCACACCAAATCTGAGCTGCTTTTTTATGATTCACAGTGGTTGCTTCTAACTACTTTATTACGGCAATGTTCGTTATCAGCCCTGTAGCACTATTTAATGTTCACCTTGGCATCAGTATAAAATTTGACACTCTGGCAGTCTGTATTCAGAGATGCACAGTTAGTCTTCCATCGGTGGCTTTCTCCTTAGCCCTAGAGCAGTCTGTGTATCCAGGCTCCACATTGAGTCTTGCCTCCTCAGCACAACATCAGAGAATCTATGTTGATCTCTTACTACCCATTTGCCACATGTTACTGTATAACTTGAAAGTCAAGAACTTATGATTTAGAACTGCTGTTCAGATCATGCATAATATTTTAATGGCATCAAGCAATAGTAAGAAGAGATTACACATATTGACAGTATGCCTAAATTTGGAAGTAATATGGTGATCTCCATAAGATAAAACAGGAGCTTGCAGGTATTTAACAACACATTTTTTTTAAGCTGATAATGTGCCAGGAATAGGTGCTGGGTGATACAGTGAAAAAACTGGATAAATATCTCTGTCCTTATAAAATGTATATCCCAGTGATTAATGATTTACTATGAGATGATTTGTAATGTGTAACAACCAGGTAAAAAATCTATTGTGATTTTTTTGGTAGCAGTGTCTGAAAGCTTTGAAATTCTAAAAAAAAAATAAAGGAATTGAAACTGTTTAAATTGGTGCATTTAGTTAGTATATTATGTAAGTGACTATTTGCTAAGTATCCCAAAGGCAAGATATTAGAGAGCCCAATGTAATCATTAAAAGTAAATACTTTTTATATTGACCTCATCCTTATTGGAAAGTATACTATTTTAGTGGCAGGCAGTGCAATCCCAAAATCAGCAATATTCCTATAAATTGATATTATATCAAATAGAAATCTCATGATAATGAGGCAGGCCAGTAGTCAAATGTTTCAGTTCTTTAGAAGCATAATTTGAAGACTTGTAAAATTAATACGAGAGTTGAAATCGAAATTTATTTATAAACATCAGACAGGTAATGTGCTGATGTAAAAAGATTTGAGGAAGGAGATTTGGAATCTTGTAAAATTAATAGGACAAGCTGGGCGCGGTGGCTCACGCCTATAATCCCAGCACTTTGGGAGGCTGAGGTGGGTGGATCACGAGGTCAAGAGATCGAGACCATCCTGATCAACAAGGTGAAACCCCATCTCTACTAAAAATACAAAAATTAGTTGGGCATGGTGGTGTGTGCCTGTAGTCCCAGCTACTCGGGAGGCTGAGGCAGGAGAATTGCCTGAACCCAGGAGGCAGAGGTTGCGGTGAGCTGAAATCATGCCATTGCACTCCATTCTGGGTAACAAGAGCGAAACTCTGTCTTAAGAAAAATAATAATAATAATAGGACAGTTGAAATTGACCTTTATTTTTAAACATCAGACTCATAATGTGCTGCTGTTGTAAAAGGGTTCACACTCAGGTTTGAGTGTGGAAACCCAATCATCACACTTAAGAATTACAAAAAGCACTTTGGGAGGCCAAGGTGGGTGGATCACGAGGTGAAGAGATCGAGACCATCCTGGTCAACATGGTGAAACCCCGTCTCTACTAAAAATACAAAAATTAGCTGGGCATGGTGGTGCACACCTGTATTCCCAGCTACTTGGGAGGCTGAGGCAGGAGAATTGCTTGAACCCAGAAGGCGGAGGTTGCGGTGAGTCAAGATCGCGCCATTGCACTCCAGTCAGGGTAACAGTGAAACTCTGTCTCAAAAAAAAAAAGAGTTACAAAAGAATCAAAATAGACTTTTATAAAATGCACACGGGTACTTTTTACCCAGTAGTACCAGGCAAATGGAAATGAATACTTTTCAAGTGAAATAAGAAAGGATCACAGTTCTTATTTGGGCTAATGCTTCTGGTAGGCATAGCAGGAATGAATGAATAAATGAATGAATGAATGAATGAATTTTATTAGCATATATAATAAATAGGTAAAAACTTCACAAGATAATTTTAGATAGTGATAAGTACCATAACATCAGTAAAATGGGGTCTATGATAAGTGAATTAAATATTTACTTGAATACATAATAAATTTCTAAACTTATTGTGGCCAAAGGGCTCCTGATTCCCCTCACCACCAGCTTCTCACCAGGTGATGCTTCTGTAGATTGTGAGGTCTGGGAAGCTTTTGAAGATGTTATTTGAGTTTAGATATGAATGGTGAGGTATCTGTGTGCATTCTAGGTATGGAGGTGGGGAAGCATTGGCTTTGGGGTGGAAATAAGTTTAGTGTGTTGGAGACAGTCACTATGAAATGTTGGAATGGGGCTGGGCACGGTGGCTCAAGCCTGTAGTACGAGCACTTTGGAGGCCAAGGCAGGTGGATCACCTGAGGTCGGGAATTCAAGACCAGCCTGACCAACATGGTGAAACCCCGTCTTTAAAAAAAAAAAAAAAATTGTTCTAGTCTCTGAAAGGGCAATCAATCCACCCTCATTACAAATTTCTTGGCTATTTCACGTATTTATAGTTCTCTATTAATTTTTAAATTTTTTTGTATTAAAAAGCCTATTGACATTTTTATTGCATGGACTTAATGATTAGAATAAGGAGAAATAGAATATCTTTATGATTCTAAGTTTTCCTATTCAAGAATGGCGTGCTTTTCCATTTATTCAAGTGAGGCTCGTTGAGAGGGGTATCTGCTTTGGACAGTTGTGTAAACCTCTGTTTTTATTACAGCCATTACATATTTTTTTAGTTTATTTATTATAGTACTGAGTGTTACTATAACTAATACATAAGATTTAACAAAAAACTAAAAAGCCAGTATTTGTGTAACCACCCTGGGCAAAAGTAGAATATTACTAGCCCACAAAAGTTCTCCTTTCATAGGCAATATTCTAATGACTTCAACGGTAATCACTTTCATGTTCTTCTTTATAATTTTATCAATGTTGTAGGTATTCCTAGACAAATGGTTTATTACTTGCTTTAGGGAACTTCTGTGAAATTGGCTTATATGTTATAATGTATTCTTCTGAATTGATTCAAGAGATGTATGGTTTTTTCTGCACAACATTATGTGTTGAGTTCAGTTTATAAATATTATTTTTATTTTTTTAAAGATGGGGTTTCACCATATTGGTCAGACGGGTCTCGAGCTCCTGACCTCAGGTGATCCGCCCACCTCAGCCTCCCAAAGTAGTTTATATTTTTGTAAGAAGTTATAGTTCTTTCACTTTCATTTTTTCTGTGTAGTTTCTCATTCTGTGAATATACCACTATATTTTTAGCCATTTTGCTGTTAATTTTTTTTTTCTCATTTGGCTATGATGAGCAACACTGTGTTGAATACCCACATGTTAGACATGTGGGTATTGGAGTGGTTGGTCATGGATAGGTTTGCCCCAGCCATCAGCATGGTACACAAAGGAACAGCTCTCAGGAATGGGCGAGTTCAGCCCAGGGATTTTCAGGTTGGGATACGATGGGGGTGGTCCATATCGCTGCATGGCAATCAGCCATGGGGGAGGGACCTTGTGGGCATTTGGTCCTACTGGCATCCCCAAGGAAATCCTTAGCTCATCAGACAGATCTCCTGGCTTCTCCTTCAGTCGTGTGTCAAACTCCTTCCCCTCATAGTACAGGTCCCCATGGATGGTCAGCTTTGGCTTGGTCTGCCACTTGAAGAAGGCATCGTGTAGATTCTAGTAGTCAATGTCAATCTTGCCCATTTTGGGCTGAACTTTCTCTTGCATTTTTGACTTCATGGTCTTCCTTCTCCTGCAGGGCCTCTCGCATCTCCTGGATGCCTGTGCATTTGATGAAGTCTGGCAGCTCGAAGGGAGGCTTCTCAATGCCCCGTTTTCCCTGCAGATACTTGCGCTTAAAACACCAGTGGCGTGGCACAGGCATGGAGTTCTGAGTGGCATTGAGGTGGACCAAGAGCTTAGGGTCCTGTGCCGTCACATCGTGCATCTCCACAACATCGGGCCGAGCCATCAGCTGCTTAAGTTCAGCCAGAGTGAAGCAGTTCATTCGGTGCAACTTCTTCTTGGACAGCTTGGGGGCTTCTGGCTTCTTTTCCTGCTTGTCATCACTGCTGTCGTCATCACTGTCTTTGTGCTCCTCCTCAAAGCCTTTTGTCAAGTTTCTCTGGCTCCTTCTCTTTCTCCTTCTTCAGTGAGCTTAAAACCTTCAAAGATACTCTTAAAGAAGATAAAGTTGGGCTTATAAATTTCTGGTTCTTCAGTCACATACTCATCTCAACATAAGCTGCTGGGGAGTCAGAGCCACGGGAATGTGTTGAGTCTTTCTCTCGGTCCCCAGAGCTCTCAGAGGACCTACGTTTCTTCTTCTGGTTCCTACGTTTCCGGTTTATATCCTTTTTAGATATGGACGCTGTGTCTGTGCTCGCTGTGTCTGTGCTAGAGCTGGCCTAGAGCAATAACTGCTGTTCTTGGCTTCTATAAATAAAACCTGCTAGCTTGCTTATCAGTAGCTGCCAAAATTACTTCTGCTTATAAGCAAGTATTGAAAAGATGCTTGCCCTGCATCCCCTCACCCTAAAAACCCAGGATGTGGTTTTTCAGCTTAAAAACCCCTGCTCTCCCTGAGCTTGGGGCCACAGGTTGGAGAGATGTAAGTTCTCTGTGGCTGCCGGCAATAAAGACCCTACAATTTGACATACTTTTGTCTTGGTGATTATTTCAGTCTCGCATCCAGTACTTCATTTGGAGGCCCCAGTGAGATATTTTATTAAAATTCCTCCATCACCTAGACAAGAGCCATCTCAGAGTCTCGCCCAGGCGGCCGCTCCCACCTCACTCAGCGAGGTGCCCCCTGAGCTGTCCCAGGGCCCCAGAGCATCACCGTGGAGGATAAGCAACCACCCGGCCGACATTCACCCGAAATTCCTCAGGGTCCTGGAAACCTCCGGAGGTAAGTTTGGTCTGGAATCTGGGAACTAGTTCAAGGGGGCCTGAGTCAAGGGACTGGACGCAGTCATTGCAACTCTGACCAGGCAGGCCTCACCGAGATGTTGCTTGAGACCTCTGGTGGCTGGCAAAGTGGGTGTCACCCTTCTGGTAGCCGGCATAGTGGGTGTCAGCATTCGGTTTTTCGTAACCTCAGTGTGAGTGAGAGAGAGAGTGTGTATATATGTAGTCCCACGGCTGAAAAGCTATGGGGCTTGAGTGGACCTTCACCCGTGGTTCCATGGGAGCATCATAAGGCATAATGGTGATTCACCTCAGAGCTGTCCTACTTGGACTTCCATCCTGAGGTGACCAGGCCTGGGGATTATACGGGTACACATTAGCCAAAATGCCCCTGGGAACGATTCCTCTGGGAACGTGGCTGGGCAGGCAACTGATTGGCCCCCCTTCTGGGGGGCTCCCACCCTTTGTCTGTCACTTTGTATGTGGTCCTGTCTTGTCTGTAAATTTGTCAGTTTTATTAGGCTTCTGCTAGCAGACATACACTGGCTCAGGCCATCCTCCCTTGAAGTAGGGGATATCTTACAGTGGTTGACAGACCACTGGATGCAGGGAGCCTTTATTGATTATACCCCTGAAGAAATCACTCTCTTCTCTTTCTTCCTCCTCTTCTAGCACTGAGGCCTCGCTCTTTCTTTCGCCATGTGGCAGATAGTCTTAACTCTAGTCTTAATTATTTCCTTGTTATGGTCATTGTGGCCTGTAGATTCTCCCAGCCACCTCCACCGGGAAAGGAATACTTTTGCCCATGCTGGATTTAACCCCATGTCAGGAAGGAAATTGTGTCCTTGACATCTTGGAGGTAGTTTCTTTGGAGTTGTGGGTAGCAGAACCCTAGATTAGAGCCTTCGGGTGTTCTTTTCCAGACTGAAATGAAAAAAGGTAACTGCTTATTCTGCCAGGAAAGTGTCTGATGTCATTATAGATGGTGCCTCATGGTGCATCACAGAGAAGCATATTGGCACCATCCTGGTTGTTGGGAGGTAGGATGTCACCACCCAATAGAGACTGACTGGCAGCACATCTGCATACACTACCAGGTGTGGTGGGTCCAAAACACACCTCCAGTAGACCTGTTGGTCCACCTGTTTTGTAGCAATTGGCCACTACAATTTATGAAAAGGAGGATTATGCACGAGCAGCGCTAAACCTCCATAGTGCTTATTCTCACCAGTTGCGGTTTGCGGGAAGGGAGACTGCCATCTTACCTTGGCCCTTGCCCCCCTTTTCCTTTGACTAGGATGAGGGACAGACCCGCCAATTCAAATGTCTGGCCCTTCCAGGACCTAGCTACAGAAGCCCTCCTAAGGCCTGTATTGAAAACAGCACAGTTTAAATTTGAAGCTTTCCCAAAACTGGTGGTTTCCTAAAGGGAGCCAGACCCCTGTGAGAATAAGAAACGGCCAGAGAGGGCCCAAAAAGTCAGCGGGGAAAATGGGTGCGTCACAGTCCCGACCTTGCACCCCCCTCCAATGCATGACGGCAAATTTTAAAACAGGGTTCTCTGGCCAGTATGGTGTTAAGCTAACCCCACAGAGACTTTGGACCCTCTGTGAGTTAAAGTGGCCAACTTTCGGAGTAGGCTGGCCAGATACAGGGACATACGACCCCAAGATAACTCAGGCTGTCTGGAACATCGTGACAAGGTCCCCGGGCCACTTCGATCAATTTCCATACATAAATCAATGGCTGGAATTGATCCAGCACCCTCCTTTTTGGCTTGAGAAATGCATAAAGCAGGCTGGACTTCAGGTTATGCTGGCAGGCCCAAAGAAGAGCCCCTCGGCACCAGCTGTTCTTCCAGCCTCTGCCTAGGACCAAGAGTGGCCTCCACCGTATTCTCGGCCCTTGGGAACGGGGTCTCAACACCCCTCTCCGGACAGTACTAATGATCAGCCCCACTCGAAGTGGGGCCCCATACCTGCCAGAGCTGCTGCCCCTCTGGGAGGCACCTCCCACAGATGGTGGCAGCCGGGGCCACCCCTTTTTTGTTCATATCCCTTTTTCCTCTAGTGATTTGTATAACTGGAAGGCTCAACACCCCCCATTTTCTGAAAAGCCCCGGGCACTCACAGGACTCCTGGAGTCAGTTTTACAAACCCACCGTCCAACCTGGGACAATTGCCAGCAACTACTCCTGGTGTTGTTTACCACAGAGGAGAGAAGTAAAATTAGACAAGAAGCCCATAAAGCAATACTTGGGGCGGGGGGAAGATCAGCAGAAGACCACCAGGAACAAATTAATGAAATTTTCCCTTCCACCAGGCCCCAGTGGGACCCAAACGCCCCAGCGGGCATGCAGGCTTTGAACAATTTTCACCAGTACTTGTTAGAGGGGGTTAGGGGGGCAGCCCAAAAACCCACCAAAATCTCCAAGGTAACCATCACCCCAGGGTCCACAGGAGTCCCCAGCTGCTTTCCTTGAGTGCCTACAGGATGCCTGCCGCACCTACACCCCTACTGACCCTGAGGCCCTGGAGAATCTGGCTTTCGTTTCCCAGACATCAAAAGAAAATTGCAAAAATTAGAGAGGTTCCAGGGAATGAATCTAACTCAGTTGTTGGAGATCACCCAAAAAGTCTTTAACAATAGAGACGCCCTAGAGGTCAAACAAATAAGAGGGTTGCTAAGGCAGTGATAGCAGCACTCCAGGAAACCCGAGTTCTCTCCCAAGGACCAGAAACTTAGCAGAGAGGCCCAGGGAGACAAAGGCTCAGGCTGACAAAGGCCCAGGCTAGGGCCTAACCAATGTGCATTCTGCCGAAGAGAGGGACACTGGAGAAACGAATGTCCAGAGAGAAGGAGGCAAGGGGTAATACAGGAAAGACAACCAAAGACCATTTTTAGTTTAGAAACCCAGGACTGACAGACCCCAGGCTCCCATCAACTAAGCCCCCAGGAGCCCAGGGTCACTTTAAAAGTTGGGGGCACACCTGTCAGTTTTCTGGTTGACACAGGAGCGGCCCACTCAGTCCTTACTCAGCCTCTGGGACCACTGTCCAGTAGAAGAACAATTATTCAGGGGACCACAGGAAAAACCACATCAAGCCCTTGGACCACCAACCGACTCATTGATCTGGGGAATGGTACTGTCACCCACTCCTTTTTAGTTATTCCTGAGTGTCCATACCCACTTCTAGGACAGGATTTACTCCACAAACTTCAAGCAAGTGTTTCTTTCTTTGAGAGTCAAGCTTGCCTCTCAATTCCTCCTCCCTTGGCATCAGGGCCACCTCAGCAAATCCTCATCACCTGTGCTCTGTCAGACGAGTATCTCTTGCAGGAAGCTATATACTCAGAGGCAAATCAACTGCCAGCATCAGACCGCCTCTGCCAGTTTCAAGAAGAGGTACCTGGAGTGTGGGCTGAGACAAATTCCCCAGGCTTGGCAAGTCACCGTACCCCAGTCATGGTCCAGCTATTGGCAACGGCAACTCCAGTCCAGGTATGACAATATCCCATGAGCCAGGAAGCCAGACGTGGAATTGTTCCACATATAACCAGGCTCCTTAAAGGAGGAATCCTTACTATCTGTAAGTCCTCCTAGAATACTCCCTTATTTCCCATCTTAAAACCAGGAACAAAGGACTATCGACCTGTACAGGACTTAAGGGAGGTAAACAAACGGGTGGAAACTGTTCACCCCACAGTTCCAAACCCGTACACCCTCCTAAGTCTCTTGGACCCAGAACACCACCATTACACTGTCTTGATCTTAAGGATGCATTCTTTTGCATCCCACTGGCCCCTGTCAGCCAGCCTGTATTTGCTTTTGAGTGGACCAACCCTAATACTGGAGTCTCAGGACAACTCACTTGGACAAGGCTGCCTCAGGGGTTCAAAAACTCCCCCACTCTGTTTGATGAGGCACTTAGCCAAGACCTTGCTGCCTTCTGAGCTGAGTTCCCAGAATGCACCCTACTCCAGTATGTGGATGACTTACTCTTGGCTACAAAAACCCAGGAGGCCTGTAAAGAGATCACTCAGTAATTATTAAAAACCCTACAGACTTTGGGGTACTGGGTCTCAGCTAAGAAGGCCCAACTCTGCCAGCCGAAAGGGCAACTGGGCACTGGCACCCAGCTGAGTCCAAGCAGTGCTGCAAATACCCACCCCCACCATGAAACGCCAAGTTCGAGAATTTCTTGGGGTAGTACGGTACTGCAGGCTATGGATTTTGGGATTTGCTAAGATAGCCAAGCCCCTGTATGCCTGCAGTGGAGGAAATTAGCCCTTGACATGGACAGAGATAGAACAACGGGCTTTTGACAAGCTCAAGAGTGCCCTGACTGCAGCCCCAGCCTTGGCTTTGCCAGACATCTCTAAACCTTTCCAGTTGTTCGTGCATGAAAAACTGGGAGTCACTAAGGGGGTGCTCACCCAGATATTGGGACCATGGTCCCGGCCAGTTGCCTACCTTTCAAAAAGACTTGATCCCGTAGCCTCTGGGTGGCCAGCTTGTCTGAGGTCGGTGGCAGCTACGGCCCTGTTAGTCAAGGAGGCGGATAAACTAACCTTGTGGCAGGAGTTAAACTTAGTGGCACCCCACGCGGTGGAGTCGCTACTCCATGGAGCTCTGGGAAAATGGATGTCTAATGCCCGCACAGTCCAATACCAGGCCTTACTTTTGGACCAGCCCCGCATATAATTTCAAAAACCAGTTTTAAACCCCGCCACATTGCTGCCTGACAGCGAGCCAGAAGAGCCCATACATTACTGCCAGCAGACAGTAGATGTCCTCCACACTGTGTGACCTGATCTCACCGATGTACCCCTGCAGAACCCAGAAGAGGTACTGTATACAGATGGCAGCAGTTTCATGATCGATGTAGTCAGGTATGCCGGGGCAGCCGTGGTCACCCTAGAGCGGGTTATCTGGGCCCAGGCTCTTCCACACGGAATCTCAGCCCAAAAAGGAGAACTCATAACTCTGATAAAGGCCTTGGACTGGGTGGAGGGAAAAACTGTCAACATCTACACTGATAGCCGATATGCCTTTGCTACGGCTCATGTACATGGAGCCATTTATAAAGAAAGAGGACTACTTACCTCAGAGGGAAAAGTCATCAAAAACAAAGAGGAAATCCTAGCCCTACTAGAGGCTATATGGAAACCCAAGGCAGTGGCATTAATATACTGCAAAGGACACCAAAAGGGAGATTCACCAGAGGCAAGGGGAAATAGGGCAGCTGACTTACAAGCCAGACAGGCAGCCTTGGGGCCAGTAAAACCTCGGACTCTTCTTGTGACTCTGCCGGCCCCAACCCTGCCCCCTATCCCTATGTATTCACCTGATGAAGAAAACATTGCTGAAGAACAGGGGGGACGACAAGATTCCACAGGATAGTGGACTCTACCGGACATGAGAATTGTGCTCCCCGAGGATCTAGGGTGGACGCTGGTTAAGGACACACACCAGGCCACGCACTTAGGACAAACAAAACTCACTGAGCTACTGAGGGCCAGATACTACATTCCACATTTACATGAAATTGTTAGGGAAACTACTACTCAATGTGATGTGTGTGCCAGGGTAAATCCAAGAGGCAGTAGGTCTAGTCAGGCAGGAATAAGACTTAGGGGTACTAGCCCAGGGAAACACTGGGAGGTAGATTTTACTGAAATAAAGCCCCCAGCTTGTGGCTATAAATACCTCCTTGTGTTTGTAGACACTTTCTCTGGATGGGTTGAGGCTTTTCCTACTAGGTCAGAAAATGCACTGGTAGTAACAAAAAGACTGTTACAGGACCTGGTTCCTCGGTTTGGCTTGCCCCTGACACTGGGATCAGATAATGGCCCTGCATTTATAGCACAGGTTTCTCAGGGCCCGGCCAAAGCCCTAGGCATATCCTGGAAACTACATTGTGCCTATTGCCCCCAGAGTTCAGGGCAGGTTGAAAGAATGAACCAGACCATAAAGGAGACTTTAACAAAATTTATTCTAGAGACCGGTGAAAACTGGGTCAACCTGCTTCCTTTTCTCCTCTTTACCTGATGCACTCCCTATAAGAAAGGCTTCACTCCTTTTGAAATTATGTTTGGAAGGCCCCCTCCCTTACTCCCCAGACTTGCGGACACCGTACATGCTGAAGTCCATAACCATACACTCCTTAAGTCCTTGCAGGCACTCCAGTCTGTTCAGTCCCAGGTGCACCCGCTCATCAGGGGAATTCAACCCACCCCAGTGGACCTCACTGACCAGCTGCTGCACCCCTTCCAGCCAGGGGACAAAGTCCTGGTAAAGAGATTCACCGCCTCCGGCCTAACTCCTCGCTGGAAGGGACCCTACACCGTGATTCTCTTCACCCCCACAGCAGTCAAGGTGGACAGACTGACTGCCTGGATCCACCACTCACATGTCAAGACTGCCCCCCCGATGCGCAATGGAAAGTGGCCTCGTCTTCAACAGACTCTCTAAAGCTAAGACTTTCGCGCTCTTCGCGGTAACCATCCTAATCCCCCTAATTCCTTTAGTGACCTCCCGAAAAGGACCACCCCTGACACCCACCTACTACCGGTGGGTTCTAACAGAGGGTACCTATGGAGGGGAAATACCCTCAAGAACCCTTGGGCCCGGGTCTACCCTCCTCAATAACACCCAGGAGTACGTCCCCCGGCAACCCATAACCTTCTCCCTGGACCTCTGCACCCTAATGGGGGGTAACAAAAATTTCCGTTCATCAGCAGGTATATCAGGGACCATAGTAGGTTGTGGGACTCAGACCCATGAACTAGCCTTACAAACCATAGGATTATACTTATGCCCAGGATCAACCCCAGACAAGAGGTGGAACTGCGGTAACCTGGAGGAGTACTTCTGCCCTCATTGGGGCTGTGAGTCTGTTTCCACTATATCAGGATATATTGTAAATAGGGACTCTTTCATTTCACTCACTCGAAAACCCCCCCCCGAGCCCTTGCTCCACCGGCTCTTGTAATCCACTCAAAGTAACAGTCCTATGCCCAGACGGGCGGTGGGCTACCAGAAGGACATGGGGGTTAAGGCTCTACTTGCCTGGATTTGACTATGGGAATCTCTTCACAATCCAGCGTATACCAATGCCCAGAACCGATCGCCCGGTGGGACCCATAGCCGAGGTCCCGAGACCCCCAAAATTCATCCCCAAGGTCCGAACAGCCCCCACTCTTAACTGCCACTCCCACCCCCAACTTGGCGCCAACTTCTAGCCCGAACATTCCCACCCCTCAACTGTTCACAGAAGCCCCCCCCCAGACACAGAAGGCTTGAACCTTTTAAACTTGTTGTCCTCCACACATCAACTACTCAACCAGACAAACCCAGATCTGGGTAAAGATTGCTGGCTATGCTTGAACCCACAGCCACCGTTTTACATAGGCCTAGCAGCACAACCTGATATAGCCCCCTCCTGTACCTCATATACTGAGAGGCAGTTCCACATAACCCTAGGGGACCTAGGGGAGAAGGTAACTGAGAGGCAGTTCCACATAACCCTAGGGGACCTAGGGGAGAAGGTAAATGTTTCCGTTCCCCTAACTATGATCTCACCCACTCCCCATACCGACGTTTTTGCAAAGACACCCTCATTTTGAGTTATAACCGGACAGGTTTTTACTACGCTGCACCTTATTCTGTTTGTTTTGCCTGCACTTTTGGCCTGATGGACTGCATTTCCACCTACCAGTTCAGCAACTCCTCCAGCCCCATTCTGTGTACCCCTATATATATATTGCCCCAGGTAAATGTGTATAGTGGGACCCAGGGAAAAATTCTCATAGCACCTGATACTGACATTCGTTGGAAACGGGCCCCCATAATTATACCCCTGTTGATGGGACTTGGAATAGCGGGGTCCACAGCTATGGGAATATCTGCCTTAGTCACTGGGGACCAAAATTTTAAAACTCTGTCACACCAAATAGATGCAGATATTACCCATCTGGAGAATTCCATCACTAAATTAGCTGAACAAGTAGACTCATTAGCTGAAATGGTATTACAAAACAGAAGGGGGTTAGACCTATTATTTTTAAAGGAAGGAGGACTGTGCGTGGCTCTCGGAGAATAATGTTGCTTTTATGCAAACAATTCTGGAATCATCCGAGACAGCCTTGCAATGGTTAGACAAAACGTAGACACAAGATAGCACCTTACAGGAACCTCAGAAAATTGGTACCAGAAACTGTTCTCTTGGTCCCCCTGGCTAACATCCTTACTCACTGCATTAGCAGGACCCTTGGTGCTAATGGTCTTAGGGTTAACATTCGGACCATGCCTTTTAAACATGCTCCTCAGATTTATCCAAAACAGAATAGACTCGGTCAAGCTAATGGTTCTGAGATCCAACTATGGGTCCCTGTGTCAAGAAGAGGAAACCTATTACAGATTTAATACTTGTTAAAGAACAGGGGGGAATGTGCTATAGCTGGCCCAGCGTTAGAGCCTGAAAAACACCATTTTATACAAGACAAAACTGTTTTCCAAAATAAGTTCTAACGGCTGCCCCACTCTCCTAGCAATAATTGCTGTTCTTGGCTTCTATAAATAAAACCTGCTAGCTTGCTCTACAATGACCAGCCTTTGCTTATCAGTAGCTGCCAAAATTACTTCTGCTTATCAGCAAGTATTGAAAAGATGCTTGCCCTGCATCCCCTCACCCTAAAAACCTAGGATGTGGTTTTTCAGCTTAAAAACCCCCGCTCTCCCTGAGCTTGGGGCCACAGGTTGGAGAGATGTAAGTCTCCTCTGTGGCCACCAGCAATAAAGACCCTACAATTTGGCATAGTTTTGTCTTGGTGATTATTTCAATCTCGCATCCAATACTTCATGTCCTCCTCAGTCTCTGATGCTGACTATCCCAGGGATGAGCAAGCATCTGTTTCCATTTCCTCTTCCTCCTGCTGAGAGTTCATCTCTTCCTGGTGGCTCTCCTTCAGCTGCAGGATCTTCTCCAAAGCCTGGGGGATCTTGGGGCCCAAAGAGGGGTCATCCATCTCTCTGTTTTCATCTCCAGGGGGCGGTGGGGGACTACGAGGCTGGGGAACAGGGGCTCCCATGGGCAAAACTGTAGGAGTGGGGCCCCACAGGGCCCACTGGAGCCATTACTCGAGGACCCAGAGGAGTGTACACGCCAATTTGGCCCATGTCTTGGGGCCGAGGGACTGAGGTGCCCATCTTGGCAATCTCCTGCTGTCATTCCTGCTCCAGTAACACAGCTGCCGCTTCTGCTGCTCCAAGAGCTCATATTCCTTCAGTAAATGATCTCCCTGCTGCTTGGCACGCACCTCCTGCTGCATCAGCAATGCCACCTGCTGCTGAGCCAGCCTCAGCCGCTATTCTGACAAGAGCTCCGGCTCACCCACACGGAGAGGAGGCGGGGGCCCCAAATTTGGTGGGTGGGCCATAGGAAAGCCAAGGCCAAGGCCTAGTGGAGATAGTGGGGGTGGCGGAGGAGGCTACAGAGTGGGGAGTCCCATAGGTGGTGGTGGCATAGGAATTCCAGGGAGTTATGCTGACATGGGAAGTGGAGCAGCTTTGTCCCCATCTTCCCCTCTCAAAATGGGCTGATTCAGCATGATGTCAGTCTGGTGGGTGTAGATCTGCAGCTGCTCCACCAGCTCCTCATGACTACCCTGGATCGGACATCTGATCTCTGCCAACTTGGCCTGAAGCTCCTGGGTAGCCCAGGCACCATAATGGCCTGGAGGTGGTGGCAGCAGCAGCGGCAGCTGCAATTCTGCTTTGGGAGGCTCCGGGTGCTTGTTTGCCATCTTAGCCGCAGGAAGGCACACGACCAACACCCCCCCCCCGCCTTTTCTTTTTTTTTTTAAAGGTTACAGTGTTTAATGTCAAGTTACATTTTTTATAGCTAGCAGGATAACAGATGAGTTAATGGGACTCAGACTACATCTAGGGCAATGTTTATCGGGCGATCCCAATGACACCACAATGAGGAAGTAGCCTTAAAATAATCAATGATGGGGCTGCCATCCTGAGGCAAGAGAAGACTGATAGAAGTAGGTGGTGATATTCATGGACAATTATTTGACCTAATGAAGTTATTTGAAGTTGGAGGATCACCTAGTAACACCCTACCTTTTTCTGGGTGACTATGCGAACAGAGGCTATTTCAGTATAGAGTGTGTGCTATATTTATGGAGCTTAAAGATTAATCATCCCAAAACATTGTTTCTGCTTCAGGGAAGTCATGAATGCAGGCATCTTACAGACTATTTCACCTTCAAACAGGAATGTCGAATCAAATATTCTGAACAGGTGTATGATGCCTGTATGGAGACATTTGACTGTCTTCCTCTTGCTGCCTTCTTAAACCAGCAGTTGCTGTGTGTACATGGAGGAATGTCACCTGAAATTGCTTCTTTAGATGACATTAGGAAATTAGGTTTACGGAACCTCCTGCCTTTGGGCCTGTGTGTGACCTGCTTTGGTCTGATCCCTCAGAGGATTATGGCAGTGAGAAGACCTTGGAGCACTATACCCACAACACTGTCCGAGGGTGCTCTTATTTCTACAGTTACCCTGCAGTTTCTGAATTTTTTGCAGAACAACAATTTATCAATTATTAGAGCCCATGAAGCCCAAGATGCTGGGTATCGAATGTACGGGAAGAGCCAAGCAACAGGCTTTCTATCACTTATTACAATCTTCTCTGCCCCCAATTACCTAGATATCTGTAACAATAAAGCTGCTGTGATGAAATATGAAAACAATGTCATGAATATCAGACGGTTTAACTGTTCTCCACACCCCTACTGGCTTCCAAACTTTATGGATGTTCTTACATGGTCTTTGCCTTTTGTTGGGGAAAAAGTTACAGAGATGCTGGTAAATGTGCTCAACATATCCTCTGATGATGAACTCATTTCTGAAGATGAAGCAGAAGGAAGCACTACAGTTCGTAAGGAGATCATCAGGAACAAGATCAGAGCCATTGGGAAGATGGCACGGGTCTTTTCAATTCTTTGGCAAGAAAGTGAGAGTGTGCTGACTCTGAAGGGCCTGACTCCCAGACACGCTCCCCCTGGGTGTCCTCTCAGGAGGAAAGCAGACTATCGAGACGGCCACAGTAGAAGTGGTAGAGGCCCAGGAAGCCATCAGGGTTCTCGCTTCAGCACAAGATCCGAAGTTTTGAAGAAGCCCGAGGTCTAGACTGAGTTAATGAGCGAATGCCGCCCCGAAAAGATACCATACGCCCTGATGGGCCAATGGAATCTATAACCTCAGCCCACTCACATGCTGTGCACAGGAGCGACAAAGGGAAGAAAGCCCAATAATTGGAGTCCTCCTGTGGCTCAGGTGGATCTAAAACTCAAGAACAAATTTTATTAATTTATTATTGGAAAATGAAACTAAAGCAACTCAAACAACTTCACAGGTGATCCTCCAACTTCAAATAACTTCATTAGGTCAAATAATTGTCCATGAATATCACCACCTACTTCTATCATAGTCTTCTCTTCAAATGCAACCTGGAGGCGCGTTTATAATTCAGTCTGCATTTGTTGTGTAAAAAAGGTGACTGTTTTATAAATTCTTTTAATTTATGTTCACTATATATAAAAAGCACATCTGTTTTGTTTTTCCCTTTTTTCTCCATAGTTTTTAAAAATGAATCTGATTGTTGTCAACACATTTGTGAAGTCTTGTGTTGTAAAGGGGAACTTCCCCTAATAAAAGGGCCTTGGAAACCTCAAAAAAAAAAAATCGCTTCTCCTTGCTGCTGCGGCATTGTGAAGGATCTGTTTGCTTCCTCTTCTGCCATAATTTTGTTTTTGGAGGCATCTCCAGCCCTGCAAAACTAAACATGTCAGCATATGCTGCAAAGTCATGGAGAGAAGAATGAATACTTTGTGCTCCTCCCCCAGTTATCCACTGAAAGAGACTCACTGGCTTAGTCAAGTCTGTTTTTGCACTGTTGAATGTTTGATCAGGGAAGCAGAACCACTTGGAGTTATGTGGAAAAAGGAATTTATTAAAGAGACTAAAAAGTGCATATTGTGGAAGGTGATAAAGAAGTCTATAATAAGATCTTGTATGTGGTGGTGGCCATGAAGTTTTGTAAGTCAGCACAGAGAGCACTGGGAAGAAAACTGGGACATGAAGCAAAGGAGAGTGAGAACAAACTGGAACTTGGAAGGACATGATAAAACCCATATCTGCATCCAATCTTGATGTAATGTTTTGGAGAAGAAGCTGGTGTCCTTCATCCCTATACTGCACACATGCCTGATTTAGGGCTCAGAGAAGAAAATGAAGGAGTGCAAGAAGGACCCGGAAGAACTTCAAGCCAGACTGGTCTTCCTCCCTTGTCGGGTGATGTAGCAGATCAGGGACACTGTGCAAATTTCAGTGGCATGTATCATGCTTCAGTTTTTAATGAGTGCTCTACTTATCTTCTTTTTTGCAAATCTTGCACAAACTTCTCCATGGCCCAATTTGTCCCACAACCATATAGGGAAAGCAATTCTGGGTAAGTTGACACCATATAAAAACAAAATTCTAATGTAGATAAGTTGGCACCATACAAAATCACTGCAGTTATGATACGTTTATGTTTACAAAAAAAAATTGGAAAGGTATTGGAATAGATTCTGAGGACAATATCTCTGTTGATTGTGAAATTCAGAGTGGGTTGGAGAAGAAAGAACCTCATAGGTGTTGAGATCAAGTAGTCAGGTATTTATTTACTCTAATGTTGCTCGGGAGAGTTAGCCATGTACCCCCATTTCCTGCATAAAACTAAGGAGTTTGTCCTATACCTGCATGTCAGTTGCTTAACTCGGCCATAAAATAAACTTCAAATTGATAATGCTAGAAGCCTTCCCTTTTCAGCTTTTGCCATAGTATTTGGTTTACTTCTAAAACATGTTAAATAAGAGTTTAAAGATCTGTGGTAAGAAAATAGATGAAAATTACACCAAAAAATTCTGACAGCTGAAGATTAAACTATGAAAGCAAATTATCAATCTGAAAATAAAATGTGTTTCTGCATGTATAATTTAAAAAAATAGATAGGACTATTTTCAATCCTGTAAGAAAATACTGAGGTTTTGGCCATGTGTGAGAAATCTCATTGCTCTACATCATAGTCTGTCTTGGTATTGTGAGACTTAAAAATTTTGGCAATCTGGTGGGTGTATAATAGTGTCTTATTTCTGTTTAATTTGGATTTTAGAAGTGGTTCTTTCCTTTGCCTTTGGGCCCTTTCCTCTCTAGTTGACTTTGAGGTTGGTTTGTGGGCAAGAGCTTTGTTGATGAGGACACTTGTTTTCTAAACATAGCTACAGAGTTTTGCCTGGGAAATTTTCAAAGAATTCAAAGTCCCATTTCAAACTTGGAGAATTAAAAGTTATGGAGCTAGTATCCAAGAATATATTTCTAACTAGCTGTCTGAGTGATTATTACACAGCTAGACTTAGATAGACTCCAGCACAGGGCCCTTGAAACTGAAGGTTGTTCTGTCTATACTGTTTTTTCCAAGTCTGTTGTATATTTAGCACTTAAAACACACCTGTATTTGTAATAGTCACATACAAGTGCTTATGTCCCCATATGGCTAGTGGCTATTATATTGAACAATGCAGATCTGTTTAGAAAATTGCTCAATGAGCCGGGCGCGGTGGCTCAAGCCTTTAATCCCAGAACTTTGGGAGGCCGAGGCGGGTGGATCACGAGGTCAAGAGATCGAGACCATCCTGGTCAACATGGTGAAACCCCGTCACTACTAAAAATACAAAAAATTAGCTGGGCATGGTGGTGCGTGCATAATCCCAGCTACTCAGGAGGCTGAGGCAGGAGAATTGCCTGAACCCAGGAGGCGGAAGTTGCAGTGAGCCGAGCTCGCGCCATGGCACTCCAGCCTGGGTAACAAGAGCGAAACTCCGTCTCAAAAAAAAAAAAGAAAATTGCTTAATGATCAGTGTGTATAGTATAGTATGCATTTTGAATGCTGATATGCAATTTGATCTTTAGCATCAGGTTTTATACTTCATGCCTCCCCACTCCCTTCCCATCAAAGTAGGGCCTCACAAAGACTGACCATTCACCATTCACCTTGGGAGGGAGTAGTTAAAAATGTAATATGTCATCCAAAATCCATTTATATTATCAAAAAGATAACATTAGAACACATTTTGTCCAGTAGAGATGTGGACATAGCAATTGATTTTTTTGGGCTGCTTTTATTGATTTGTTGAAGACTGTAAACACTTTGAGCTATCTTGAAACTTAAAGCTTTTTTAATTTAAATTAAATTAATTAAACATTTTTTTTTTAGTTTTATTTTTCTTTTTTGTGTTTTTATTTCTAAATTAAATTAATTTTTAGCTTTTTGTGGAATGCTTAATTCTGATGTAGGGCTTAATTCTGATGTACAAGCTTTTGTTGGGGGTATGTGACAGTTGTTGGGCATGTAGCTAGAGGCTATCATATTGAACAGTGATATGCTTTCAATATGGTTAGAAAATTGCTCAATTATGTATAGGTGTATGGTTTGATATAGATTTTGAACATGCCAGAAACTCCCTTCTCATGTTCCTGTAAGAAAGATTAAGCATCAAAAGGTAGAAAAAATATACAGTTTATTGTAGAAACAGAATGTGAATTTGTGAGTAACATTTTTACATTTTCTCAGCCACACTTTAAAGTGTAAGCATCCTTAGTAAAAATAAGAAAATGGTAAGAACAGGTTCAACTTTGGAGCTAAAAGAAAAAATGTGTAAGATGAAGAGCCCAGAGGTTGAGGTCACAA